ATAGTTTAGTTTACTCATACGGTTTTAGTCACATTGCTCAAGATGATTCATGGGAAGTCAATACAGAGTTCTCACCGACTGCAGAAGGGCCAAGTTACCATTGTGTGTGTGTGTGTGTGTGTGTTTGGACTTTTTTTTAGGATAAAAGCTTAAGATTATTACAGTTATTTTCTTGTGAGAAAGTGTGGCTCAATGTATTCGTAAGTCTGGTTCAAAATGCCAAAGCTTAGCACCTGTACACATCTTTTAATGTTCTGCCTGAATCCATAACACGTTTAGAGGAATTAATCATGAGCTCTGTCCTGCTGATGAAAAGCAAGCAAAGGCCTAACCCCATTAGGAGCTTCCTGCCATTTGCTGCCTTTGTGCAGCCCCACTATAATGTCTGTTATTGTTTCCATGACTGATCCCATTATAAAGAGTTAATTTTGCTGAGATTTTAATTAGCAGCAAGGCAAATGACAAAAATGCTCAGGCCAAATGCATCTACGTTTCCTAAGAGAGCCCTTTTTTAGCTGATCTCCCAGACATAAGGGAGTGAGTAGTTTTGCTTCAGTTTTAAATACATTTAGAATAATGGTTTGTTTTATCCTAATTGTGATCTGTCTTGATTGTTTTTACAGTGTGTGAAAATGTGCTGATTATAATAAATCTAAGCCTGGGAAACCCTGCAAACTCACCAAGTGTTTCTGATTAATGCCCCCGATATCTTCTCTGTTAGCTGCTTTATTCCTTTCCCTACTGCGTGATTTGTAGACCCAGATTTGTTGAGCATATTGTTTACCAACAGAGAAGGAAGACATTCCTGAGTTTAAAATATATCAATAGAATATTAATAGAGAAATTAGACTTGATTCACCAGACACAGGATGATTTAGATGGATGAGGCATAAGCACAAGTTGGAGTCTGCAAACAGAACGGGTTCTCTTGGGAGATTTTTCTTCTGTCCAGAAATGATGCAAGTTCAGCCTCTTTTTTCTTTTGAGCATTTAGCAGTTTCTGTCAGAACCAAGAAATGCAGAAACGCACAGTAATTGAGGCTGATTTTCCAAAAGTTAAACTTTTCCAAAGCCCAAAAATAGGCTAGAGGCCTATTCCTCTGCCCCCAAAAGGTAGCCAGCTCCGCCACATCTCCTCCACGCTGTCCATGTGGAAGGGCCATCGCATTGTGTCACACATGGACAGTCCCATCGCACAACTAAGAGGGGACTTTATTCTTCCTTTCAGACTCCTCAAAGAACATCTGGGAGAAAAAGAAGTCGAACTAATGTTGATCTTTGATGCGGTCGAGGAGGCGGATCTGGCTAATTACACCTGCCATGTTGAAAACAGAAATGGGCATAAACACGCCAGCGTTCTTCTGCGCAAAAAAGGTATTTGTCCGCAACCACCGTGCGCGATAGGGGTGGTGTAGGGGAAAGTCAGGCTCCCTTGAAGTCAGTGACAAAGCTTGCACTGATGCCACTGGGGCCAGGCGTCTACCGTATGCACTTAGTGAAGTCATAGTAAATTTAAATCATGGCTTAAATCTGCTATTAAAGGCAATGCTTTTTAAAAGCTTGAGTGAAGTAGGGTGAGATGGTTCAGCTCTGGAGATGAGGTTCTTGGCTAGTGTAAATAGTTCCACCACAATTAATGAAGGCTTTACCATATAACCAGCAGCAAGTCTCATCCACAGAGTTTGGGGCATAAACCCCATGCTGGTACATGATAGGATAATTAATGTACATTTCCTATAATGTATTTCTCCTTTTATGTATGTTCCCTGTTCAGTCTGAACACTTTAATCAATGACACGACAACGTTTTAGCAGAACAGGAGCAAAGACACTTCTGTAGCATGTGGACAGTTACCGCCCCACTGAGTTTCCTTATACTTAAAATTGGAAATAGTCGAGATGCCATTGTCAGGAGTTCTGGTTTTCAGTTGTCCAAATGAGTAGTGTCTTTTATTATATCCTGTATTTTGAATAAGCTATCATCACAAGGATTGTAACAGTAACACGTTCTACTGCTTCTTATACTGCTAGTGTCAGCAGCCTCTCTTAAGTCAGGTGATGGCTAAGATCTGCACAAATCTAAAATGCAGGATTTCAACAGGAGCCAAAGCTGTTAAATTGTCAGTTAAGAGCTGGCTGAGAAGAAGGTTAATTTTCCATTTAAGGAATGGGGTAGGAAAAGTGCCGTGGTCTACCTGATCAGAACCTAAATTAATCAGACAGCAAGCAAAGACTTTACACCAGTGGTTTTCTCAACTTTGTTTGGACTGGGACCCATTTGTGAACGTCAATGGCCAGTCCTGACCCAGTGCCCCTCACTCCCCACTGGTTGCCCCCAGCGTGTGGGGCGGGGGGGGCCACAAGCAGCCCCTTGCAGGGTGAAACGCTGCCAGCCTGCATGGGAAAAGCCACGGCTTCCCACGTTTCTCTCCTCTAAAGGAGAATGCATTTTCAAAGTGTGTTTGCAACCCTTTTGTATATTCCTGCGACTCACTTTTGGAGTGTGACCCCCCCCCCCTCAGTTAAGAAACAGTGCTTTACACTATAAAAATCAATACAGACCACTCTCAGAATAGGGGACACACATTGGTGATGAGAAACATAAATTAATGAATATTTCAAATATCAATTATAAAGACATAACACAAGCCTGGCTTAAAGAATCAGTGGCTATCACTATAAAGGATTAAACTCCACAGTGCAAAAACATTTTCCTTTTCCGGCTATTTAGCACAATAAATAGGAGACCGATAATCAGTAGATCTCTGTTGACATTGTTAAATGTTCTGCTGTGTTGGGTATATTAGAATAACAAAGCGTGTTTATTTATAACAAGAAAATGCCGACGCTTCAGAACGCCAGTGAAATTATGTAAGATGCACTGCTGAATACAGAAGTTGGAGCTGTGCCTCGGCCAAGTTCACATCCCGGTGCTGATTTTCAGGTCTCATCTTGCGCACCGCCGATATTCTTGCAGCGCCCTTTAGCTGCCCGGCCCATTGTCTGCGTGTTTGCATATCTACAAAGTACTAACTAATATTTAACCTGAATTGTCCTTGTTGCAGCTTAAGCTAATTATTTCTTATCCCATCTGCTTGCCAGGATGGGCAGAGCATGGACAGTATTAATTATGGTCGCCCAGCTCTTACTCCCTGTGCTGTCTCAGGGCATGCCTGTACCGATGGTGAGAGATGCACCTGAGTGCTTTCAAACCCAGCCCTTTCAACCCTCTTTTTTTTTGTAACCCCCTAATTGATAAACCCCTCTTGATTCTTGAGATTCTGTAGGTATTTTTGGAGATCCGGAAAATGGGTGTTATGTCCATATTACATATGAAGTGGAAAGCCAGAATATTTTGGCACTGAAATGTTTAATGCTTCATAGTGATGACCATCTAGGACGCTGTCAGCAAAGAGTGTGGCACCGTTGCTTGCAAATTAAACACATACAGAGATTGCTTCAGATGTGGACATGCGACCAGACACAGACACAGATGTGCCCCGGCACCAGGAAGATCTTGGTCTGTTCACAACCACATTTATCTTCTCTGACATCCTTTGAAAACTCTTTATTACTTGCTTTGTTACCGTTTAAAAAATATTTTCCATGCAGCTTTTGCCTCCGTGCTGCCTGTTCCTTGGCAGTGTATGAGGCAGAGTGTTTTTTCAGTCCTCCCTCACCTGCCACCAACTTCCCTCCATGAATAATAAAGAAATAACTTAGATTCCCCTTTGGGTGAATTTGAAATAGGCTGACAAAAAGTATCTAAGTACACTACAAAATGAACACCTTAGAACACAAATAACAGCTCCTGACAAGCTGAATCGAATCAATCAGTGTCCTGAGTGGAAAGACACGGTAGGTCTATAGATGAAAGGAAATATTGCAGCAATGTGGGCTCAACGCTCACTTCAAGAATGTGGATTTCATGTAATGGGAATAAATACTATGTCTGCTGTTGTAACTAACTGCAAAGAAATCTATTGATTGTAATGCAGGTGGATTGGATTTTTATAGACCCCTTTGTGTCTAAACCAGGTCAGTGCTACAAATAATATTTCCTTAAGTACGACATAATCTTGCAACCTTTTCCCCTTTCCTACGGGCGTTCGGTCTAATAGCGTAATGCCCAAATTCTGATATCCTTCCTAATGCTGGATATTTTGGCTGCTGGTTTTCCCTTCGGTATGAATAAGCAAGCACAAAATCCCTACTCAGCTTGAGTAGGTCTGGTCCTAATGAAAGCTACCTGAGTGGATTTGGTTTTGATAGATTATAGATTAGCTCCTGAACTGCACTGGATTTGGAGACAGGTCCCATGGTGCCGGGTCAGCCATGGCTGGAACAGCCCAAGTGAGTAATTTAGAGTACAGAAAGAGATTGCTGTACCCTCCTACATGTTTCTGAGACACAGAGGTGGAGAGTCCAGGGCCCAGAGCCAGCAATGAAGGCAGTTGCGAGACTCTGACCCAGCGCTTACCTAATTCTCCAGGCTGGATCAGCAGAAAGATACTTGCAAGCTGGAGAGAGTTCAGAGAAGAGGAAGACAAATTGATCAGGGAGCAAGCTGGGCTGACTTACAAGGCAAGATTAAAAGAGCTAAACACATAAGGCTAAGCAGCCGTGTTGGAAGGGCCTATGTCTGAAGGGGGTGAATTGCAAAAAGAGAATAATTTAATGGGCAATGCACATAGGTGCAGTGAAATGAATCTAAGAATGAAAGAGATGGAGGATGAGCAAAGTGTCATCAGGTGATGAACAACGCCAAAATCCTAACCCGGTGACATTTTTCATGCAAAGGGATTTAGGGAAAACATATTAGATGACCCACGAGTTAGGTCCTCGTCAATTCAGAGATCAAACCCTAGATGCTCAACCTGTGCTAAGAGGTGGGAGACGGAGAGACCAAGAGCCTCTCCAGCTGGAAGCTGAGAGAAGAGAAGGAGCTAGAGGTCTTTATCCGTCTGTCTCCATGGCCCTAGTTCTCTGCCTCTCCAGTGCTGCGACCGATGCGCAGTTTGGGGCCTTGGCACAATGGAAAGGCAGGGGGACGTGGCCCTCCGTCTTGGCAGCCCTCCCGAAAAGCCTTCAGCACTTACACTTCCTGCCTACAAGGTGCATGGCTGGGGCTGCTGACATGTCATTTTTTGCAGAAAACTTCAATTTTGCCCAAAATCTTTCTCAAATATTATTCTGGAAAATAATTCCCAGACAGCTCCGCTCCTTGTGGTCAAGCTAGTTCCCCAGGTTGGACTTTTGAAGTTAGGTAGGAAGTTAGGTAACACTGCAAAATGCCGTGTAAAAACAGTCCTAGATTTTCAAGAATAATGACTGGTTAGTATAATACACCTTTCTCATCCATTATTTCTGTGGCATCTATGATTTCTTGCTGGAGAACAGAGATGCTGTATATTGGGAATAGGTTGATGGCATCTGACTGATTCTTATTGACACAGGAAGCATTGCAAGGTAAAATTAACCCTAAAAATGCATGACAGATTTTCTTTTGTTTTAATTCAAAATTGGCATGAATGGCATAAAGATTTATGGCTCTTCAAATAATATTTATCACAGCAGTAAATATCTGCACTGAGAGATTGTGTCAACTAATATGGGTTGCTGGGGGTGGTTCTTATCGGCATCTTGTGAATCGCATGCAATGGGAATGCACAGCAACGCCAAGCATGCTACTTTCTATGCTGTTTCTGAGAGAAGAGTTTGGCCTGATGGCCAGAACCTCGGGGGGCATCGATACATTGTTCCACCTCCTGTCATGGATGGATTTGTTAACGAGAGCCAATTGAAACAAAACACGGGGCTGGGACTCAGGCAGCCCACGTTGATCCTGGCTGTCACTGGTCTGTCTGCTGGGTGACTTTGAACAGATGCCACCACGTTTCTGCACCTCGGATGCACCATCTGTGAAATGGGCATGATGCGACTGACTTTCTTTGTAGAGCACTTTGAGATCGGCAGGTGAAAAACTAGATACGATGATGGTCAAATTTGAGTTTTCTTGACACAGTGCCAGCTATCATCGATAAATAGGCATGTTCTGCTTCAATGGCTCCAAATGCTCAGGCCTTGAAAATCCACATATCTAGGCTGTCTTGGACGAGACTAAGAGGAAGATTAAACAGCCTGGAGCTCTCCACAGAGAAAAGTCCTGCCAATGGCCACAGATCAGTGCATTAGGAACTGTTAATAGCATTTCTTCTCTCAGTTCAAATTGCGACTGTAATTCCCAGGGAGAGAGGAAGCGCCTCCGTGGCTTACCCAGTCAAGCGTTCATTGTTGCTTGGGTTTGGTTTTGGTTTCCTTCAAATAAAGACGTCTAAATTCCTGAAAGAGCATAATGATTCTTTCAGCTATGTCAGGTAAAGAGCAGATTCTTAAAACCCTTCACGGGACTTACTGGAGATGAAGGTGAAGTCAAGAACAAAGTAGAGGCAATGATTGATTTTCCTTTCCAAAAGGGAAAATATATTTGTCTCGAATTCTTCATTAATTTTCTGATACCACTTTTCCATGCAAGCAGTTGTTACAAGGATGTCACATGGCTTCAACAGCAGGGAAGATTGTTCCTTTGATTACTATAAATGGTTTCCAGAAGACAATGTCCCCATTACAACCAAGCTGTCATTCCTTGGGAAAATCTAAGAGTTTCAAACTTCTTTTCTGCCCACACGGGAACAAACCATCAGAACTGTGAAACTCCCCACGGACGCTGACAGTTCCCCAAAGTTTTCATTTCAGCAATATTTGAACTACTTTTTGAAAACAAATTCCTTTTCAGTGCGGTCAAAACATCTAATTTCAGCATTATGCTCAAGACTACAATATGCAGTGCTAATGTCAAAACGGTAACATTGAAACAAAGACCTTCAAGAACTTCTCATTGAACAATTTGGCAAAATCAAGAAGGTCCCATAAAACTGTCTTATTTTGTCAAATCAGCATTTTCTAACAGGGAAAAAAAGGTTCCGCTAGAAAATTTGCAACCTGGTCTAGGTCCCATTAACATGTCATCCATGGTCCATGCTAAAGAAAAGCTGGAAGACTCCTGACCTAATGCTTCTCAATATTCAGCTCAGCTAAAATAAAGCGGCACTTAGTGGTGTAACCTACAGTCCTGCCTTCTTGCTGCAAGTTAATACCTGATGTGAAAGATTATGCCCCCTAAACATTAAAGTGTAGGCACTTGAGAGGTTAAGCCAGTACTTAAATGAGCTCAGCTGAGGCCCTGGCTTTCAGAACAACTCAAGGCAACTGTTGGCTTTGTAAATATAAAATGGTTTAGCATTGTTTTGGGAACTAAAGTCTCCTACATTAGGGTGAAATACATCTCATATAATTATTCTCACATGCCGTGTATAGTATTTGATGTACTGTGCCAAGACAGAAGATAGAGTCAAATTCTGCAAGCTAATTAAAGATTGATTAGTCCTCTGTGTAAAATCGCTACATAATTCGCTCATAGAAGAAATATGATTATAGCCTCAAATGCATTCTGCATGGCAGTTTTAAACTGGCAGTAGAAGGAGTGAATGGGTAAAGTTAAATAATGGGTAATGAACTAAAAATTAGGCAGCCTTACTTTTATAACAGTCATAAAGAGGAGTTGCACCTTTGTATGTGCAACAGCACAGTGAATTAGAGCAGTTAAAGCCAGGAAGGCTCATAACCTGTCTGTCTTTTGCTGCTTATTCTAGACCTGATCTACAAAATTGAGCTGGCTGGAGGACTGGGAGCTATCCTGCTTCTGTTTGTTTTGCTCGTGACCATCTATAAGTGCTACAACATCGAGTTAATGCTGTTCTATAGGCAGAACTTCGGAGGTGATGAAGCTGCAGACGGTAAGCCGCCTCCGGGGGAAAGTAGTATTAAAGAAAGCAATATTGTGGTTCCCTGATTCTGAGGGACCTCGCTTGCAACTGGAGCCATAAGTACCTACTACCAATTGATGTCTGAAGTATTTCACCACCTGGCAATATAAGGTTTTTTTCAGACTCTGTTCAAAGGTCTTTTGGTATCAGTGGAAGCCTGTTCACTTTACTGGACATTGCATCGTGTCTTCGAGTTGGGGCGGGGGGGGATTATACTGATGCCTCTTATATGTGCATTATTGATTACAAATTGTAAATTGATTACTCAGAAGAACTGCTAAGATTAGTTCTATTTGCCAAACTTCACCCTTCCATTAATATTTCCTGACAGCACATTCAGTAAAAACATGTCCAGCCTGAGCGGTGCTATAAAATTGAAATATTTCTTGCCAGACCATTTCCACTATGCGTGCAGATTTAAAAAAAAAAAAAAAAGGGCAAAAGAAAAA